ACCGCTGTCTTCATCCCTTTGCTATCGGCCTTCAACCATTTAAGACAAAATTAAAAGAACTGATTCATTGCAAATAGGTAGTGTGATACTGTTTTTTTTATTTAACATTTTTTATATGGTTATTTAAAAGAATATTTTTACCCAAATTTTATGTAATATTGTTTTATTTTGTAAATTGTAAATAATAATAATTAATGGCATACACTGGAATTTTAAATAAAGTAATATATGATGATATGAACTACGCACTTTGAAACAAAGCAGGTCACGTTAACTTTAAAAATGAAAAACCTTTTCAACAATTTATAAGAAATTAGAATCCAAATAAATTCCTGACTAGTTTAGAACTTAGAATTACTTAGAAACTTTCTAAAGAACGTATAACGGTGTCACTAGCTGCCAATATGAGTGGAAGGGAAAAAAGAGAGCTAGTCGTGATTGGAAAATCAACTAACCCACGATATTTTAAGGACATCAAGTATTTGCCGGTCACTTACAAGGCAAACAAGTCTGCATCGCAAATTTTTGAAGAGGAGATACGGAAATGGGATGCAAAATGAGGAGTTGCAAGATTTTATAGTGATAGATCATGATTTGCCTACAATAGCAGACTTGACAGAGGAAGCAATATTACAACAAGCAAGCAAGGGCGAGGAAGAGTTGATCTGGGACCACCACAACAAGCCCTATATTCAGTTACGCTGCTGGAGAAATGTATCATGGGGAAGATGTCCCTCTCGAAGAAATGGTGAAAACGTAGTATGAGATGCGTATTGACATACTAAAAAAATTCAAAAGAAAATGACCGATTATTTGAAACATCAAATGTAGTTCCTAAATATTTATATAAAATGTACCTAAGTAGATGCTAAAATATAAAAATAAAATAACAATAAAATGAAAAATATATATACACATGTGTAGTGTTATTTTTCAAGTACCTATAACTATTTATAACAAAATATATATATATATATATATATATATATATATATATATATATATATATATATATATATATATATATATATATATATATATATATATATATATATATATATATATATATATATATATATATATATATATATATATATATATATATTACACTCACGTATTGATTCACGGATGGAAAAATGTGATGACACTATATTCCGGGATATCATCCGTTCGCTCGTTGAACTCCGACTGGAATCCTGCAGACGTTTCGCTAAAATCTCACTTGGCATCTTCAATGCTCGCGTTCCGATGATGATGCCAAGTGAGATTTTGGCGAAACGTCTGCAGGATTCCAGTCAGAGTTCAATGAGCGAACGGATGATATCCCGGAATATAGTGTCATCATATATATATATACAGGGTTTTTCACTTAAAACTCCGCACGCCAATAACTCCAAAACGAAAATAAATATTTAATTTATGTAAAAAGTAGTCAAAGTGTGGGGTCAAGTAGATATTTCCTAAAGTTTAAAAAATTCGACGCCTGCAAAGAGCTGGGCGTCGCGACGCGGCGAAAAATTATTCGATTGCAGAGACTTTGGAAATATGCGCATACAAAAGTACATATTATTTAAAAACTTTTTTGTTATTTACTCAAACTTATTTACTTTACCCGTTTCTAAGTTATATCGATTTAAAGTAAACATTTCTTGATTAATAAAAAATGTGATTAACGCTTATTTTTACAAGTATGCCATGAATGTTAGTTACTATGGCAACCATTGTTATCGCAGTTGTTTTAAGTGCAATTACAAACAATAGATTTCAACTATTTTTTATCGATTTAGTTCTGATAACATGATAAATACAGTAAAATACCTACAAGTTAATAACCAAAATTATTATTGCAATTAACTTCATAATAAGACATTTCAAAAATTTTGTTCAAAATTTCTGCTCGAACACAACTATCAAAAACTTTTAACAGATGAGCTTGGGTCACTTGTAAGAGAGTCCTTCTTGTGATAGCGGCATACGCTGCACTAATTTTGTTAATGAGATCAGTCATATCTTCGATAGGTTCTTCATAGATAACGTTTTTTAGGTAGAACCAAAGAAAATAATCTGGTGGTGTAATGTCCGGGGACCTCGCCGGCCACCTTACCGGTCCATTAGTACCAAACCATCTATTGGGATATTCTCGGTTCAAATACCTCGTTACTATTTGGGCATTATGTGCAGGCGCTCCATCCTGCTGTAGCCACATATTCATTCTAGTGTCAAGAGGCACTTCTTCTAATAGTTCCGGAAGTGTAGTTTGAAGAAATCTTAAATAGCGATCTGCATTCAAAGTTCGTAAAAATAAGGTGCAATAAGGAATCCATTTAATATGCCGCACCAAACATTGATACTAAAAATTCGTTGGTTACCTCTTTCTGTAATCCAACGAGGATGGTTTTCGGACCAAAAACGACAGTTGTGTCTATTAACGATTCCATTATTTTGAAATCGACTTTCGTCGCTCCATAAAATTTTCGAGAGAAAATTTGCATCTTGGCTATACAAATCGGACAATGTCGCTAAGAAATACATTCTTCTAGCATAATCGCCTGGTTCTAGTTTATGAACTAGTTTACTTTTGTACGGGTGAAAAGAGTTTCTATGTAGCATTCTCCACGAAGAACTTATGGTAACACCGGTATTTTCTTTTATCTCTGATAGGGATATCTTGGGGTTATTATCAACCTGCTGAATTACAGCAGCAGTATTTTCATCTTTTGTAGCCGTCCTGTTCCTATCTCTTTTAGGTTTTATGAAGCTGCCATATTCTCTTAAGTTTTTACATAAACTTGAAAAGGTTTTTGCATCGGGGACTCTTCTATGCGGATAACGCCGTGCGTAAACTCTTTTTGCTTCTCTACAATTGCATCTGCATTCTCCAAACACCAGTAACATGTCTACTTTTTACTCATTGCTAAATTGCACCATTTTCACATAATAATTCTTAGTTTTTTTTAAACCGAACAAATTTGGATATTTCTTGTGACAAAATGTGACAATTTTTTGATACAGCAATAACAACTTACGTTTGTAATTGCACTTAAAACAACTGCGATAACAATGGTTGCCATAGTAACTAACATTCATGGCATACTTGTAAAAATAAGCGTTAATCACATTTTTTATTAATCAAGAAATGTTTACTTTAAATCGGTATAACTTAGAAACGGGTAAAGTAAATAAGTTTGAGTAAATAACAAAAAAGTTTTTAAATAATATGTACTTTTGTATGCGCGTATTTCCAAAGTCTCTGCAATCGAATAATTTTTCGACGCGTCGCGACGCCCAGCTCTTTGCAGGCGTCGAATTTTTTAAACTTTAGGAAATATCTACTTGACCCCACACTTTGACTACTTTTTACATAAATTAAATATTTCTTTTCGTTTTGGACTTATTGGCGTGCAGAGTTTTAAGTGAAAAACCGTATATATATATATATATATATATATATATATATATATATATATATATATATATATATATATATATATATATATATATATATATATATATATATTATAAAAAAAAATCTCAACAAAGATATGCATATTTGGATATTTGTTGCTAATTTCGACAAAACGACAAAATATAGGTGTCGGTTGTGGGGGTTAATTGCAACAAGGATAAACGGTCCACCTTCATTAGGGTAATTTTGGCGTGCGTCGGGAATTAATTATTTGGTTTGCCACTGCGGTGTCGTGCACAGACATTTCCATAACTTACGGCTTTAACATATTCGAATCCTAATTACGCGAACCGCATGCGACAGCCCGTCACGCTTTCTTTGAAAATCTACAGGAAGGGATGGTATTGATTTTGCACAAAAATACAGCTCTGAGGATATTTTCAATGGTGACGAGACTGGGCTATTCTACAAGATGACTCCAGATCGTACCCTTAAATTTAGAGGAGCAAAGTGTTAGGGTGGGAAGCAGCCGAAGTTGAGGTACACCGTTTCGGTTTGTGCAAATAAGACAGAAAGCAAAAGTGCAAACTTCTATTATTGGTAAATGTGAACGACCGAGATGCATGGAAAATGTCTACCTGTCATTTAAAAGTCAAACTAGCGAGCGTGGACGACCAGCAATTTTTTATAATTATTTAAAGGATTGGGATGAAAAACTGAAACGTTAGAATTGAAAAATATTGCCTCTGACTGATAATTGCGCAGCTCATCCAAAAATCAGATTACTTGCACAATCTTCCTGAGCCGAAAAGCTTCCCAACTGTTGATGATAATAATAACAACGGAGTTATTAACGGATAATGATATTATTACTGAAGTTTTACAGCCAAATGATCCCCAAAGCTCTGGTAACGAAAGCGACGATGATGTTCAACAGGACGAAGTACCAAGTTATCCTGAAGCGCTTTTTTCCGCCAAATTTTTTTACCATCTGCTGATAATGCACATAAGCACATCGAGAATATGACATTTGTAACGAGAAAAAATAAAAGTAAAAATAACGAAAAAAAAAATAAATAACGAATTTCTTTACTCAAAAAGAATAAAGTATATCTTTTTACTTGTATGTTGTAAAGTTTATATAGATAACCTCTATATAAACTTTTCGTGATTTTTGTTTGTTTCTTTTTTCTCAATACAAATGTCATATACTCGATGCGCTTATGTGCATTATCAGTAGATTGTAAAAAAAATGAAACAAATTTAGGGGCACAATTTTAGTTTAGGTAGTTTAGTTCCTTTCGTTTTTTAGTACCTATATTAGTGTTTATTAGTTTTCTATTTTTACATAAACTAAAAATATGTACCTACCTACATAATTAATTTTTTTGTGTTTTTTTATAGCGTACTTCCGGTCATAAAGCACTCACTTTTTGGTCCCTATAGGGTACTTTGTAACCGGAGTATTTAAAAAATTATCGCATTGTGGAAAAAAAATACAATAGTTTTAGGTTTTCTTCTTAACGTTTTCATGGGTGTCTGAATTTACTTTGGAAAATGGAAATAATTGTAAAGTAATACGACTAGAACTTACCGCAGCATCTTTATCCGCGTAGTTGCGAGCTGCGAGGATGAAACAGGCTTTCGCTTCGTTCATCCTCGCTCTGGCTAGGTCTCCGTCTTTTAAACACGACCCTTGGATGTAAATGACCCTTTGGGCCCAAATCGGAACCTGCAGGATCATGCGCATGGTCGTGTCCAGTTCCATCGGCGATAAAAGGACCACGTAATAATCCTGCAAAATATTTTTGCTCGCATTGCCAATATCCAGAAATTTTCTGACTAATAGGAGAATTCGGAAAATGACATAAAATTAAAAATTTCATAGTGCTAACTAATTTTAACTGAAATCTAGATCTGCAGTGTGTCCATTAATTAAAACTAACCAAAACTAACATACTCAGATCAGATAGGTCGAAAAAATCGCCATTTTCCGTATTCATTTTTATTTTTTTTCTGGTGTTATTTAAAGAGATAAATAAAATAAAGGCCACTTTTTCGAGGTCATTTTTTGATCGGTGCAAGATAGAGTTAAAATAAAAAAAATCGAAACGTACCTAAAATCTCTGAACTCTCAACAAGTGACAAGGAGAGAATGACCTTAACATCAGAAAGAAAAAATTAAGACCAATCGGAAAATTTTGTTTTTTTCTTGTTTATCTTCTTTTTAGTTTTTTCAAGAGTACGTTATTAAGTTTTAAAAAATTTGTATATTTTCTAATTTAACCATTCTCTGGTAAACAGACTGTTGTTTACTCAAATTAATATATATAGACTATTTCGGATTTACAAAAAATATCAAATGAAAACATTATTTTGTAATTAAGGAATGCACAATAACAATAACATTAGTACAAAATAGCAAAAAACAAATATATATAATATGTTTTAACGCAATAACGTGTGAAATATTTTGCGAAATGGGTGAGAAAACAATTTAAAAATAGATCAAGTTTCTGACTGATTTTTTTTTAATTAATCAATTCATCTTATCGCGAGTAAAGGATATGAGCCCCCAAAATCTTAAATTTAAATTATATACATTCTCTGATGCAAATATTGCGGGCTCTGAATAATGTTGTGGTTGAGACACACTGCATGAAGCTGACGTTTATTTGTCATCTTTAAGTTTGCGATTTACTGGGTCATAGTTTCTAATATTTGTAAGCTTATTGAAGACAGGCTTTCTAAACCATTTGTTCAAACCCACCTGACCTCAACATGGCCCCTAAACAGCACGAGCTTAGTTAAAACGACATAAAACAAAACCTCTGTGAATTTTAACTCATTATTGGTCTCCTATGAAATATAGTGCTTTTACAACCGACATCGTGGTTAACTTTGCCTACTGTTTATTACTGCAAAACCGCAGCCCCTTATAGAACACCCTGCCGAGCAATCCCTTACCATTCCGGAATTTATCTATCTACTCTGTCAAACGATGTAAGTATGTTTTCAATCTTGAATCTTTGACATTTTTGGTAGATAAAAATAAGGCATCTTGCACCCAACCATTTTTGGACCCAGCAAGAAGAATTATTATGTGCTTTTTATGTGAAGGCGGTACGTTTATTACACACTTGTTAATGTAATCGCAGCATCATTTTTGCGTGTGTCAACTGCGTTTAAATAATCGAAATTCTTTGAAATTCCATTAGCACTTGACGATTATTGATTGTTCGGGACTGAAAATCCATTTTTTTCAAAAAAGCACGTAACGACTCTCTGGCACCGCTAATGTTTAAGTCTCTTTTAGCTCTGCGTGTTGCTCTTTAAAAACCCGAGAACAGCATCTTCTCTGACTTTCCTCTTGACTATTCCATTTGCAACAATTTTTCTTACAGTTGACTTCGGAACTTTGGTCATGTCATTCAAAACAATTTGATCAATTTAACATCCGAAGACAAATGGATCGGTTTTTTTATTTGCTCAGGTAGTGCGACTTCTAAATTGTTATTAGTTTCGACTATCATCTCCACTTCGTCTTCCAATTCTGCGTTGTTTTTCATATCTTCTTCTAACAGGGGAACATCGTTTATCTGTATTCTTATGATGTACCTTTATCTACCGCAAATATAATCAATAGTCTTAAAAAAAACTGTTGTTTACAAATCGAAGAACTATGTCTTCTTCTCGTCCCTTCTCTTAACGAAGGTTGGATATTATTATTATGTTACAGATTCTTCTTCTCCCTTGACTCGTTCTCTCTTGATCTTTACTTTCATAATGTTCCGTATCATTGCATATTTAGAGAGTTAATTATTTTCACCTGTTCCTGGGCTCTCGCATAACGTAAGTAATCTGTCCGTTTAAGGTAATACCCTCCTGTCGTTCATCCATAGCTTGTAGAAGACAGAAAAATACCCTTTGAACTGTCCAGTGAAAACAGCCTCGCAGGGTCAAAGCTGGAGGATCACATTCAAATATCACCTGATGTTAAAATAAACGAATTTAACCACGCTCTTGCGAAACTCTGCGGTTAAGGTACTATATCGCATCTTCAATTCATAGCTTCTCTGTAGGCATCTGTTAACGTGACATTCGAATCTTGAATTCCTAACGTCCACGACTACCACAAATTTTTCGCGTCTTACAACAATCGCCAAAATATTTTCCAACTCTTTTGCAATTTTACCAAAATTTAGTACACGCAATTTACTAGCATTTATTCCAAATCCATGTTTATCCGAGAACTTCGCCAAATGCTGGTGATCCATATTTCTTCTAATTGCAGTTTCAGAGAAAAACGAAGCAATCTGGTATAGAGGTCAACCAGGATTAGTAACATATTCTCCGGATTAACGAGTCTATACTGTATATAAATAGTATGCCTCTAAAGACTGAGCTGTGGGAAACCATTATAAAGAAAAATTAACAAATACCTGCAGTAACGGGTGGGCGTAGAATTCGTTGAGGAAGTCCATGATAGTGTCAGCGTGAAGGTTGGTACTGCACACTACCACGTGTTTCTCAGATTGAGCTCGATGTGAGGAATAAGAACCGCCCAACTTTTGTCTCTCCATCCACGTGAAAGCCAACTGTTCGAACTGAAAGAAGAAGCAAAACGACGATAGACCTTTCACCTATCGAGTTTATTATAAGCGGTACATACAAAGTGTAAATAAAAATGAATTTTTCCTGATATGGATTACATATTTCTATGAAAGTAAGCAAATTAATTTTAGGAAAATATTCAAGCAATGAAGAGTTCTGATAGAAGCTTCCATAATTTTAATGTTATAATATAGTAAATGACATAAAATAAAAAATAAGGCACTTGAACAAAACGGTGTCTTAACAGTGGGTATTATTTTATCGACCCCACACCTGACACCCGATTGATATATCCCGTTGTACCGTACGTATTGAAATATGGCGCACAGTTTGGTTTGAGATTTTAAATCGATTAATGCAAATTTTTTCGGTAAGAAAAATCCAGAGAAAAATACTAATTGCAGTTTCCCACCGGCCTTAAATTCGGCTTATCCCACACCTGACACCAGTCACAATAATCCTCAATTCTTTTTCCATTTTTTCTTTTAGTTTTCACTTCATAAAGGTGGATCTAATTTAGCGGCGACATTTTTTCTTTGCAAATTGGCGATGTACGTGATGCGAAAACATTCAAATTCGGCATTCGGTCGGGCTGAATAGCATTCCTACGACGATGCAACTTACGTTCGGTTCCCTTGTTATTCGACGATATATCATCTCGTATTGCGGAAACTCTCTTATAATTGCCAATTGGAACGGAACGATATAAAGGAATTGGCGTTCGTAAATCAGAATAGGCCAGAGGTCTGGCGGATATCCGTATGGCGCAATTTGAATTTTAAACGCCTGATTGCTTATTGATGAATGGCTGTTTTCATTGTCAAAAAATACGCTTTTGAGTCTTTACAATACAATGCGTAGAATGAACCGAAATAATACAGGGTGACACAAAAAACTGTATTATTTTAAACTCTAACTGTTCAATACCAGTTTCATCTCTGAAGAGCTTTCATACCGAATTTTTCCTTTCACTTAGATACATTTTTAAAAATTAATTACAATTAAAACAAAAATTAAATAAATAAATACACAACATAAATAATAACTTGATTTAAAATAGTTCCCACAAATTAGGTTATATAGGATTTGAAGCTGATGATATTCGTATAACCAACAATACAAACATCTTTATAAGAAACGCGTAAACATTGTGCAGAGGAATTATTTGTAAAACATGTCAAAAAAAAAAGTAAAAAAAAGCATTCCAAATCAAAATTTACAAATTACAAATTAAATAGATTAAAATGATTAAAACAAACACAGCAGAGAAGAAAATGATTAAAACATAAAAAATGCACGTTTAGTTGAGAGAGCTACTGAGAAAGGTAGACTTAACATAAACCTGAACACAACTAAGTGGATTCTAGTGGGTAGGAATTTAAAAAACTAGGACAACATTCAACGATATGAAAAATTTATTATACAGGGTCACTTTATTTTATTATTCTGAGTTAGTGCAACTTTTGAAGATATTTTCAAATGTACGGGTTGTATCATGTAGTGGTGGCCAATATTATCTTTGTCATTTTAAATGGAACACCCTGTATGTTATTGAATTTTTGGGTTAAAAATAAATTTCTGGAAAACTTTTATTATATGTCTAAAACGGACAGTACCTAAGAGATTTGATATTGTCTCTGTTGAAAATGAAATTATTCAATATTGTTTAACAATTTAGCTGCAAGATTTATATATAACAATTGCTAATGCTATATAGAATGTACCAAAAGAAGTAGTTATTTCTTGTCAACATTGACTAATTATTTGCTATTATTATTATTATTTTATTTTATTATTATTTTTCTTCAAATCGAACACTGTAATTTTTCATTTTAACAATTTTGAAATCCAATTCTGAGTAAAAAATATTAACATTACAAGATAGTCATTTTCGGCAACAGTGTTCGAAAACAGTATGTAACATTTCATGGAACGTTTGTTGAAATTATGCATGAGATAAATTGAAAGAATTATTTATATTTACAATCCTCGAGTGAATTGCGTATTCAATTTCGTGGAAAAATAAACCATCAATCAAACTTGACAAAATGTATCCATTTTTTGGTAGAGCTCTAGGAAATGTTCGGGGACATTGGGGTATTTTAAACAAAGTAGTGCCATTTTTTACAGAATACATCAACATTAACCGCAGTTACATGTACATTTCAAAATATTGTTAAAAGCTACACTTGACATACGTCCATCAAGGTAGATCACCCTGTATATTTCTTATACTATAGATCGACATGACAAAAAGGAGGATTGAACACCTAGGCAAAATACATTTACTGCAACTAATAGTCCAGCAGACGAGGACCAGGAAACATAAGACATTCTTAGCTAGACAACTTACATAAGAGGTTTGCATTGTAGTTACGATCAGTCGGAAAGAACAAGGCACAAAAAGATGAACATTCGACCTTCCATCACTCGTTATCAGTTCAAGGAAGGTTCGTTTAAAGAAAATCACAGGTCTCTTTTTTCTTTAGCCCAATAATGAACTGAAAACCCCGAGAAGTGAACTGCATGGTGTGCAGGAATTCCAGATGAATTTTCTAATCAACTCCAGAGGAATTCCGGAAAATTCTGATAAGAATTAAAAGAAATTACGACGTGTACAATTTCCTCTTGGTCAAGGAAAAATCAAAACTCCTGTCTAAGGCTAATTTATGGGGTAAGGAGGAGAGATCATATCTCCCCGTACCTTGCTGCGACGGGTTGGCTTAATATGCACCTTCGATGCAAATTACGAATGAGTTCTCTTTATTTCAACATTCTTAAAACAAAATTACCTTTTTATCTTTACAGAAAAATTACTCTTAACATATCAATACACAATTTGAATCTGCGTGGAAGACACCGACTAGTTATACCCCGTCACCGCAAAGAATTATTTAAAAGATCATATTCCTATAATATAGTAATTATTTCTATGTAACTTTGATGGTTATAACAATAAATGTATTATTATTATTATTAAATTTTCCAAATTTAAAGCTAGCGGATTTGATATTGATTCGAGAACCGAGGCGAAACCATTTTTTCGAAAATTATTTACGACCTCGATGAATACGGGTAATGCATTGTAGCATCTTTTGTTAGTTGAATTACATTTCGGAGTTCTGGGGTTCTCTTGTATACAACTATCGAGTTACGGAAACTGTATGGGTACACAAAGGCTCCCGCTTAACTCTCGGTAAGTAACAAGTTCGTTCGCCGGGCTTTCCGATTTTAACGACGTTAAATAGTTTCAGTTCTACCGGCACAAAGTTGGGATCTTTAGAGAACAAACTAAACAAAACACAATCAAGAACGAATATCATCGGGGATTTTATTGCCAACGATTTTAGTTTGTCTTTTTATCGTCGCCCCACGTCTGGAGCGAAAATGAGACACAGACGTTAGTAAATAGAATTATATATATATATATATATATATATATATATATATATATATATATATATATATATATATATATATATATATATATATGTATATATATATATATATATATATATATATATATATATATATATATATATATATATATATATATATATATATATATATATATATATATATATATATATATATATATATATATATATATATATATATATATATATATATATATATATATATATATATATATATATATATATATATATATATATATATATATATATGATGACACTATATTCCGGGATATCATCCGTTCGCTCGTTGAACTCCGACTGGAATCCTGCATCCGACTGGAATCCTGCAAATCTTGCATCCGACTGGAATCCTGCAGACGTTTCGCCAAAATCTCATTTGGCATCTTCAATGCTCGCGCTCCGAAAACACTTCGAACACTCTATATATATATATATATATATATATATATATATATATATATATATACATTTTTTTTAAGTCTACAAAAACCAGATGTATTTTACCTGATGGGAAGACACTCTGTTTCTTCCATGTCTTTAAATTCCATTTTTATTCTCTGCTTCAATATTCGTCCATACCACCTGCCGTTACGTATGTTCGGGCTCAATTTTTTTACTACCTTTTTTTATATACGGAGGTAATATAATCACCAAAACCAAAAAGGGTCTTGCGTTATGGCGTTTTCAATTTTGAGTCAAAATCAATTTTTGAAAATATAAACTGTGTCTCTGAGGCTTTGTGCGTTTGAGTTGAAGTCTTTGTATTTGCAAAATTAACCAAAACTAACGAAAAGCGTTTTATTATTTTAAAAAAATCTTTATAATTTTGATTGTCTGATGGACAGATACATTTTCTGCTCCAAACAACTAAAATATTTGAAAAGATGCAACGTACCCAATTCCAAGAAAAACATATTGCAACATTTTTATTCTAAATGGCATACCCCATTATTTTTCATAATTTCAAATTCGCTGAGTTTTTAAATTTATTTTTGCTTATTGTAAGTTTCATTTTTTTTAAGGCTGAAATTTTGCTTTTAACGCCCGAAAATCCAATTTATTAGATTTACCTAGGCACATTTAACACACATGGCCATTTAAAACTAAAAATATCCAACAGATATAGATGAGTAGCGCCAAAACTAATTTTTTTAAATAGAACACCCCGTAAATGACCGGCATTTTAAAAAATATAGCGTTAACGCTTCTCGTGTCACGCGAGTATCATTAATTTTAAGAGGCACTGTATATTAGAGATATATAGGGTGTTCGAAAATTGAGTCGGAATCTTGGAGGAAAGATTCAATGTGGTATAATAATGGTCATGTAACAAAAATTCAAAATCGTAATACTTTACGGGGCTATGTGGAAAATACCATTGAGAATGTAGCCCGCTGCGTTAAAAACAAAATTTTCAAAAATGAATTTTGACAAGCCATGCGATTTCGAATTTTTGTGACTTGACTACCATTATTTTACCACGTTAAATCTTTTCTTGAAGGTTTCGAAATAAATTTCCGAACACCCTGCAATATACAGTACGTGGGGCTTTCGTAAGGTGTAGACAGAGACCAGACCAAAGACCAGAGGAAAACCGTATCCAAATTAAAAAAAAAATATTTTCGATTTTTATTAAAAGGACCATAATGCATCACTCAGGTATACTATTAAAGACGTAGGAAGGAAAAAATTCCTTAAATGATGTAGGTTATACGTATTTATTTATGCGTATACATGAATATCAATAACCAGAAAAATAAAACAAAAAATAAATACATTAAAATATATACAGGGAGATTCATTTTGGGCACTTTTAGATAGAACGTTGCCGTTTTCGTGAAAATATCCGTCTATCCATAAAAATAAACGGGACAACTTCATAAAGGTACAAAAAATTGAACACCACGCACTTTTACTGGTATATGAAAGGACGGGAATTATTTTTATTTATTTTTTACTCCGTTTAAAACACCTTCAGCGCTGAGAACTTTAAAAAACGAAACCCAAACTTTACCGTCCCTTACCGAAGTTTCAATTGTTTCAAAAATTTCAAGATGGCGCGTTTTCCACACTTTTACTACTTTCGGAGAAAAGAAGAAATATAATTTTTTTTTTCATTTTTTTACCACCCCTGAACTATATGCATTTTTTATATGGTGAACTAAAAATATTTTTTCTTTTATTAAAAACCAGTGACGCGCTTAATATTTTTCCGTTGTCTGTTTGTTTTTTCTGCAATAACAGGCACGACGACAAATGTGGCGGAACTTACCTGCGTCGGCAATACGATCAGGGCGACGCCTATCATAATGACCATGAACAGCTGCGACGGCCATATGTCGGGAACGAAATCCCCGTAGCCGACCGTGGAGAACGTCACGATGACGTAATACGTCGCTTGGAATAGGTTCAGGTGACGATGTCCGGCCCTTTGAAAGTGCTGAATCCCGCACACGCTGAAACGAAATTGAAAAAGTTTTCACCGCCGTTATTGCCAAATTTGTAGCGATATGCGGTATAATACGACCAAAAATATAGTGCATTTATTGCATTGACGTTTTAAGAATTTTACAGTACCTTAACCGCAGACCTTCGCAGGACAGTTGCAAAACCCATCCCAACTGAGGTTTATGCTGCATTAAGAAGACCTACCTGATATGGGCCGTAACGAATATTTGTAAACTTGAAATTTATATTTGAAAAGTAAATGGAATGTTTTAAGTTTGATTAGGCATTGATGCTGCGTTTATGAAGTTACGTAAAAGTTACTTCGTATTAAATTTTTTATTTACATGTTTCAAGAATTGCTGGCCAAAAAGATTGAAAATATACTTGTATCCCGCTTGTGAGTATAGACTGATAAATTCCGAGGACGGTCTTGGAATGGCTACGGGTAAGGGCCTGCTCGGCAGGGTGCAGGGTAAAGCACTATATCTTTGGGCGAAGTATAATACGTTTATTTTCGAATCGCCAAAGTCTAATTCTTGGCAATTTTTGGTGTTAATAAATAATACTTTTCAATATCTACATCATACAAAAATTATATTTTATCGAAATTGCCTTTAGCAAATCCCGTAAAATTTGGGGGGTGCATGTTTTCTTAACTAGTACATATTTCATTACAAAAAGATTTTAAACAACCTGACCACTACTTTTTAAAAAAATACAAACAGACCAAAAAGACCTGCGCGCCACCGAGCATTTTTTAAAGCAATTCTATTTGTCTCTATAAATTCAAACCTAATTCGTAAACAAAATCGGATATGCCGTGTTCTAGTAAGAAAGTTGTCACCGTCATTTATTAGACCAAAATTTTACTACTTTTTAAAAGTTTTCGGAAAGTTTTAGGTGTTTTTTTTTCTATTAACCCTGTATTTACAAATTTGTCAGTTGCTAGTAGTCAAGCTGGAGGTTTTATCAGTTTAAAATTTACCCTTCATTGAGAAACCCCCCTTAGTTAAGGTTTTTAAGTGCATTAAGTAGCGCGAAGTTTGCTTCAATAATTGCGGCTCCGCTTTCTGTAATCTGTGTCGAGCTTAAGCGTTGAGAGATAGGTAGAAAATGTGAGTCGTTTTAAAACTTTTAAATTCTCAAATTCAATCAAAAGTGTAACAAATTATCGGACTGTTGTTGAAATTTTAGATGTTTTAGAACTGTTAAATACCAAATTTTTTATATTTTATATTTATATATAAGTAAAACAAAAAAAAAGTTTACATTTTTTTGTGATGTGTAAAGTCCAATTATGGTAACTTTTCAACGTTTAATTCATACTATATAGTTTGTACAAAAAATGTTATCTAAAAGCAGTACCCCCGTGTATGTTATAACATTTTTTGGTTTTGTCCTTCCTGTGAGCTTACGTTTCAAAGGATTTTGAAAATTTTGGTGTCAAAATGTTGCAAAAAAATTACCGGTTTTAAAAAGTTTTTGTTCCCACCAGGGTGCTATTTGAAAAAACTAGGTTATTTTAAAAAATTAATAGTTCGTTACATTAAATGCTATTTGACATCAGACAAGCATAGAAAAGTTTCATTTACAATTTTTCCCATAATTAGGTGACCCGGTAAAGTATTTATGACGGTCATAGCCTCCTAGCCTTAAATAAAAATATAAAAAGAAATTCTGTAGAATGATCTCGCTCAAACCGGAAGTGCATATTGTCAAAAAATTGGACATTCGGCCTTCCAATTTTCGAAGCGCCATCTCAAGCCGTTTAAAAGTTATAGAGTGTTCCCACTTCCTTGTTTCTTGGAACCATTGGAAATCATAATTAATGAGGATTGAAGTCATTCACAGAAAATTAGAATAAGAATAGAGAAAGCAAGTTCCGCCTTCAATTAAATAGCTAAATTGTTTACCAAAGACATCAAAATCAGATTCCTTAGATGCTATATTTTCTATATACTTTTCCATTTAATGGAGTCATGTGGCCAACAAAAAAGTACTGATACAAAAGCATTTAGAAAAAAGGAACAGCACCAAGAGAAGAAGACTTGGGACATCGTGAAAAACGGTCTTTTAAAATCCGTTCTCCAATGGAAAGTCTATGGTAAAAAAGGACCAGGAAGAAGAAGAATATCATGGATGAAAAACTTAAGAACGCGGTTCTCAAACACAACAACCCAACAGCAGTAGTGACCAAAGTCGAAGAAGTGAAGAACAACATATCGATAAATTAAAAAAAAATCAAATGTCTCTTCAATAATCAATCAGATCTTAATAATGAACCCCTATTTTTGGTTTTGGTTAGATCGTACTAACAAAAATCGTTTCATATTTTACGCGCAAAAAGAAGCGTTCATTCATCATTTATTTAATTTTAATAGCACGATGTGAATTTTTGACGAGGCGTATTTAAAAAAAACCGTTATAAATCAACCCCGGAGCCGCCCCAATTTGTAACTTTTCGGTAAAACAAATTCCGGCCGATGTAAAACGCGTAACACTATACGTCCGTCGGATTAATTCACAACTTGCGGGCCGAAGTTTCCGCAACAAAAATTTACGGCTGCCCCGCCCTCGTTCATCACCCGATCCGCATTGGGTCGGACGTCACGATTTATTTCGCTCTGCCCGTGACGTCTTTACCGTTGTGGTTGTTTCTCCGTTTCCGCTACAGCACTGTGGGCCATCTGTGTAATATTATAATTTCGGGAGATTGTAATAATAAAGAAAACGATGTTTAATTATGCAAACTAAACTACCCACCTACAACAACATAAGTTAACTAACCAAAACTAATAAGATTCTGGAGTATAACTTTTTCTTTGTAACTTCAGTATTTTTTCCTAAACTAGTTATGATGGGATCCTGTTTCGAAAATTTCTTTCACTTGTACTCCATGATGTCTTAACTGTAAAATTATATAAATAAACTATGTAGAGTACCTTCGCTTTTATAGTTTGCGTTGGCTTTCTTATTGTAGAGGGTGTCCAGATAAGGGTGGTAAGCGAAATGGTTCAAAATTAATTTGAACTTCATAATTGCACCGCCAGAGGTCACACCTGCTCTGAAGAAACACAAAATCCACGATAACCTCTGAAAGTTAGACAATGCGCCGTGACTTTGAAAATATCGATAGCTTGAGTGATAACTTTTTATTTTTTTACTATTTTTTTAATTTTTCTGGATCTGGCGGTCGAATCACCAAGTCTAATACTTAGCCTTAGATAAAAAAAAAATATTCGGAATCTCTATCTTAACAGAGAACATTCAAATACTTCATCGAAAAATGAAAAAATATATTTTTTTTGCAATCAGTCGGCTAATAAAGAGCTAATATAATTATTTAATGAATAATAATGAATGGTTGATTTGATTATTTCTTTAAATTAAGATTAAGATTAAAAAATATTCTAAAATGTAAAAAAACCCAAAATTTTCGAAAAGCTCAGAGGAGCGAATGGTATATTTTGGGTATATTTTCGCAAAACATTAACAGACATGACCGTCAGAATGGACAAACGTCAAAATCCAAAGCGTGGGAAATGTCTCCGAAAACATCCGATTGTTCCCAAACCCGTGCATTAAAATTCCGGAAATGTCCGAAGTGGCTCGAATTCGTGGAAAACGAAACTGACGTGGTAAAGTGACGCTTCCCGCACGCTAGATCGGCGTGTAATTAGGTATTTTACAGACGGGAGTAGAATAAATCATTTTATACAGCTTCGGTTTATTTTATGATTTATGAGGTTATATGAGAAAATATAATAATAGTTTGCTTTATAATCTGACATTTTTGCTAAAAATAATAACCGTTATACCTACTTAGTAATCGTATAAATAAAATTTTCTAATTATTCGAAACAGTGGAGAAGATGTTCTTTCAAGACACTAAAAGTAAGTTACAGGTATATACATTACAAGATGGGTACAAATTTTATGGTTGAAAATATCAACAAATCAAATAATGTTGAATACAAACAAATGCTTAGTGTTGGGGATGGTCAATTGACCATATCTTAATTGACTGGTAAAGCTCGATCAAAATCTTTATCTATCATTATTTAATAATAATATGTATTTTATAAAAATTTGCCTATAACTTTTTTTAAGGAATACCTAAATACGGTACTTAGCGATTCATTAAAATATTCTATCTAGTCCTCAAAAATTCGTAACGGCGACAAAACTTAGTCACACAAATAAATAAATAAAAATTGTATTTTTAAAATTACTTGATGAAAATCCTTTTATCAAAATAAATAAGAACTAAAAGTTCAGATTTTCACGGAATTATATATTTTCACATGACAATTGTTTGGACAGCATCGTGTCTTCATCAAATCTTAATTAATGTTGTTGTGAGAATTTAAATTCAATAAAGGAAGAAGTATTTAAATCTAATCGATCGTTAAGCAAATCATTTGAATGTCTTATTTTGTTAATCTCCATGGCTTCGAATAAATTTAATTTTCTACTTTTTGTGGCTGTATGTAAAATATCAAAATTTATTGGAAGCCATGGAGATTAACAAAATAAGATATTAAAATTAAGGATAAATTAGATCTAAATACACCTCCTTTACTGAACTTAAATTCTCACAACATGGATTAAGGTTTTATGGTCATTTTTCGGTATATATAGTAGTAGGTAGTTTGTAAATATTACATTTGATAAAGACACGGTTTTGTCGAAACAATTTTCTTGTAAACAGTATAATCTCGTGAAATACCGAACTTTTAGTTCTTATTTATTTTCAAAATTACTTCGGTCGATTGACACCAAAAAATTTGACCAATTTCACAACCTTTAAATGCTCAAAGTTCACCGTCAACTTTTAACTTTGTTTATTAGTCTACCTTGTCGTATCAAATAAAATAGAATGCGATATTAATGTCAATCTAATTTACCAATAGAAAAAATATAATGTATTGCAAAGTATTCAGACTTTTAAAAACACATGTGATTGGTCGAGCTTAAAACAAAACAAGACCTTATAATCCGCTCATATCTCAATACGCTTCATCCCTTCAGGTGCGCCCCGCAGAGTAGGAGAAAATTGAGCGAGGCTTTGAATATCGAACAATGAGTGAGAACGTAAACATTTGCAACTCGTTACTGCGAGAAGAATCAGTTACCTTGTGAAGACGAGGCAAATTAGGGTCGCGGAGAGTATCGTCAGCTGCTGCGATAGGGCCGACTGAGACTTCTGCATCGCTCGATGCAGATCGTTCTGAAACAAACAATAAATTTACAGGGCGGACCAAACTGGACGCATTTAAAGTGAAACTAGCATTTCCAAAACAGATGGACTAGAGCCTTTTCCAAAAAGTCAGTGTTACTTCTTAAAGAAACTTCCACGGGCTACTGTAATACTTTTTATAAAACTTCTGGATTTCTCCTGCGCCGGTTTTTGTTTACTCGAACTAGCCGACGATTCGCCAATCATCCTGTTAGCTTCTTCAGAGCTTGACTGAAACTGGCTCGCATTTTACTAAGCTAAATGAGGGGCATAAACACCGTCTTAGAAGACAGATAAAGATCGAGTCCCGGCCGAAGATGTTGCGAGATTTTTGGACAAGAGGTAAATATGGTTTTGACGTTAGACTTCTTTAGAACATTTTTTATGAGGTCAGTAATGTTTTGAATGTAAGGAAGGACCACAGTGGCAAGTGCTTTCGGCCATATTGCTATTGGAAGGTTGTGGTGAAGTGTATGTGAAAATTATTAGAGAGAAGAGCAAAGGTAAGGTGTTTTAATTCTGGGGTTAGTGACTCAGGCTGAGATAGTTTTATGGCTCTTTAAACAAGAGAGTTGATAACCGATGGTTTTTGGGCCGGATATTGATGTGACAATGCATTAAACACAATGACCATATGTTAGGTCTGATTTCCTATTTATAAGAATATCTATCTAGTTTCCAACACAATGGTAAAACGTATGTTAGGGTGTATAGAGTTTAAATGTCTAAGAAAATCTACTAGGGTTTCCTGACCCTTTGACTTCAGAAGAAAGGTGTCGATAGCTTTCTTAAAGGCTTCCATAAATCTATTCGCGATGATTGGTGATGATGGAGAACCCCCATAGCTGTTACGGCGTTTGTTCAAAAATTTGATCGTAATAAGAAAAATGTGTTCCAGGCAAACATTTTTCGATTAAGGTGGGAAGGTTTGGTTCCAGATTCTCGAATCCTAATATATCTGAAATGATGTTGATAGTTTCAGGAATGGGAATTTTGGTAACTACGTCGAAAATAGCTAGAATATCTTATGTATCTAATGTAATACTTTTGAATTATTCGATGAAGTGATTATGGTGAACTGATGGCCCCGCTTCCCTCAAACAACATATAAGCAGGTACAGAGTAAAATGCGAGCCAGTGCCAGTCAAGCTCTGAAGAAATCAAGAGGATGATTGGCGAAACGTCAGCAAGTTCGACGCAGCAAAAATCGACGCAGGAGGAATCCAGAAGTTTTGAATTTAATGGTTTAGATATAAAATATTCGTAGTTTTGGAGTTATATTTGGATCCATCGCTCTGTATATCTTTGACTGAGTGAAAAACATATTCAAAAATCGCAAGGCAGGAATTCCTCTAAGTTTTTCAAGTCAGCCCCCACTGAATGGAAATGGAAATGCGTGGAGTTTTTCGGCGGGTTTATTAAACTGTGTTTGCTGATAGACTTCTAAATTTCCCGCTTGACATTTTAATCAGAAGCAACGTTCTCGTACATTACGTAAGCAGGAAGGGCAGGTCGAATTTTCATTACGGAAAGGTAACAGAAGATATATAAAAATATGTAAAAATATGTTAAAATTTAAAATAAGATAACAACCAAAAAAAAAAAAAAAATTCGAAAAGCTGAAACAACTGCGGAAAAACCGGTTTTCTCAAAAAATTCCAAATTAACGAATACCGTAATCTACTCTAGGTAAGGAAACGTTTTTGTTTGAACTATTTTTTTCTATCTCGTCAAATTAAGATTGGATGGATCAAATATTGGTTTAGAAAAAGTTGAATAGCTTTTTTTTGGCTAATCCGATTTCGACGAACTTAGTTTAGTTTTAAAGGGTATAATTTTTATTATATTAATTCTTTTACGAGTCGTTAGGAGGCGCAATAACATGTAACATATTAATAACATATTGACCGTTTATTTTTTAACTATTATTGATTATTGGCGATTAATATGGAGAAATTATATGAGCGTCTCACGTCGTCGTCTCTCGAATTATTAATATGCTTAAAAATTGCATTCCACTACTTTCTGTGTTTTTTATGCTTTTTCATCTTAGCTAAAAATTTTCATACCATTATGTTTAAAATTTTCGAAAAAATCATAAAAATTGCTGTTTTTGACATCAAGCGCCTCCTATCCACTCGTAAAAGAATTAATATTGTGATATTGACACAGTGTGCTTATCTGGAGTAGATTGCGTTGAATATTTTTCAAAAAACTCAATTTTTTTCTATTTTACATTAGAATTTACTCCTCCTAGCAGCCATTTTATGAACCTGAAAATAATTTCCAGCTTTTTTTATGGGCCGATTTACCTATAAACACTTTTTTTCCAAGTCGGTTCCTGGATATGGCCGGCGTCTCTTATTATTGGACCACCCGGTACAATTCAATAAAATATGCTTTTTCTTTGAATATTTATATATTATATATGTTTGTACTATGTTTTAGTTGTATCCTATTAAATGTTTTAGTCCTTAATACAAAAACATTGTCTTGGTTCAGTAATCGGAATTATTTACGTATCCGGATCATCGTGGTTAACTTTAAATATTATTACTTATTCAACCAAATTTAAGGAATTTTTATGGCATAAACATAATCTGAATTTTTGTTTATAAATTACTCGGTTAGATTTCAGGCTATTATTCCTAGTCGTTCTTTTCCCGTAAACAAAAAATAATTAAATCCGTCGCAAGCAGAAAAAGACAATTATTATTCGGCTTAGTTCGTAACACTCTCCCGACCTGCACGTCCTCGTAACTGAGTCAAAAAATATAATCCACGTATCCTGATAAAACACGATTTAGGCCGTTTTCCCCTTTGTTTTTTAATGTGTAATTGCTTTCCGCTGTAAAGCGCCGGCGGCCGTACATTGACCCCCACCACCCTCTCGGCCCCCTACGTTTTTTACATTCCAGTAAGAATTAATATTTGCACGGGGATCATTTCCGCGCGTTGAACATTACTTTTTGCAAATTCATCGTGGAAAAACGTCGCTAAAGGTCCATATACAGTGTCCCCCATAATGTTGGATACATGTTATTCGGTCCCCATCGATTTTCATGAATTTCAAATTTAATTTTCTCACGAAACGCTGACTGAATTCGCAATATACATTTTTACAAGTACAAAAAACAATTTTTACAGTTTTATACTAAGTGTTTGTCACATAATGTGTTACTATATTTTCTGAAAGATATTACAAAAACCTACAACTTTTATCATATACCCATTGCTTCAAAAAAAATTAATCTTTACAAAAGTTTTATTTACCATTTTCTAACCAACCAACAAAAGAAATTTTATAAATTACAATTTCTGTGGATTAATCAACGACCTTCGTCAACCCCGAATAACGATTTCTAGCGCATTCGTTTAATTAGTTCAGACCCTCTTTCGTTGCATCAAAAAGAAAGGACGCAAGCAAAAAGTGTAGCAAGAAAACTGTTGCATAAAAATTTGTTGGTTATCCCTTTTAATAAACTCTCTGGGTGGGTATCAAAATATAAACTTCACAAGAAATATTTTACTCAAATGAAAGGATAAAACTCTTTATTTAATTTAGCTGTCCTTGGGTTAATTAAGGAACAATTAGATTTTAAGATATCGAACACTGTCCCTAATTCCTATCCCACGTTAAACTTTGCGCCAGTACAAGGTCAAATTAATAAATAAATTAAATAAAATAAATTAATAAATATTTGACTGACTTTGACAGGCACACCTAATAGTTCACGGAAATTTCGTTAAGGATTTAGCATTGAGTATAAAACTGCTTTTTCTTTAAATAAAATTGTTTTTCATAAAATAAAAGCCAGTTAGCATAGCAGAAACTTTTGAGTTGACTCGAATTTGAGTGCTACGTTAATTTTGATGGTTTGCTCCAATTATTATTTTAATAATAAAATATAGAATAATAAAAGTGCCAGCGCCAATGTCCACATTATACTAATTAATTAATTTAATTTATTGTATTTTTTAATGCAGGTAAGTTACTCTCTCTGAGTTGTAAATATTAAAATGTTTAAACCATTTTTCTTTGAATTCGAGTCCTTTTTTTAAGTTGATACATTTATAAAGAACTGGAAAAGAAAAATTTTTCAAGTTCAAGTTTTTGACAGTTTCGAACATCACCATTTTTTAAAAATATTTTGTATATATAAAAAAAAATTCTGGCTGGCAAAGGAAAATATTGAAAAACTTTTGAAAATTTAGAAGTGGTAAGTACAAAAGCTTAAGGTTTATTTGAAACTCCCTTCTCTTAAATTAAACAAATAAATTAACATATTTCTCCAATTCCAGTCAATCTGTAACATCTTAGGATTATAATGTTTACATTTAGAAAAAGTAGACTTTAGCTGGATTTTTCAGCAAATATTCAACTTCTAAGGGGCAGTATCCATATTTATTACCTAATATTAAGAGCAAAAATAACTGCGAGGTTATGTGAAATTTCATAAGATTTTTGCAGATACTTTAATAACATAATCAGAAAGTGGGGGTCGTTTCTAGCCTTACTAACATCATGTAAACGTGGTAACTTCGAGCTGGTTTAGTGTAAATTTCGCACACAATCAGTACAAGCGTACTTACAAACATATTCTCCAACGAGCGCTTTGCTAGCCAACAGTTGAGAAATACCGGAATGAACATGGCCCTCAGCGGCGAATAGAAAATCTGAAAGAGAAATGATAAAACAGTTAAGTGGGTTGAACGAGACGCAATAAGCTAGCCGAGGGGTTATTTCATTTTTCCGCTGAACTGGAATAGTTTCAACTCTAAATATAAATCATATAAAAAAAGACAGATACGAAGAAAAGACAGAGACATTGAATTCATTTATTTTGTTTTAAAATCTTATACTTAGACCAGAAATATAATGCTTTTACAACCGACGCCACCCCATGATTAACCTTGCCTACTATTTGTTACTCCAAAACCGCAAAACATCAGGGGGAAATTCCAGGACCGTCCTAGGAATTTATCTACCTACACTAACCAGCTGGATGTAAGTGTGTTTTCAATCTTTTTCACGTTTATTTTCATTACATTTCTACATAGTATCAATATTAATATATAAAATATTAAATATAATAATAACAAAGTATCGCTCACATAAAAAATCACCTAGTTCAATGATCAACACCGCCACGAATCGTTCTCGATAAATATTTTCTTCTTTTATTAATTCTTTTTTCATAGTTAGACTAGCTTTGTACTGATATTTTAGCTACCTCTTGCCGAATTACGTTTATGGTACTATCACTAAATTTTGGTGCAGTGTTGTTTCCTCGTATATGCGCTTTCAATTCGAACCAAATCATCTCAATTGGGTTAAATATACAATGATACAGGCGTAATTTCCAGATTTCATATCAGTTGTGTTCACTTCATCTTTGAATCTTTGACGTGTTTGGCAGCCAAAATCCATCTTCCATTTTTGGACCCAGCATGAAGAATTATTATTCGGCTTCTATATTGTCATTAGATTCGACTACCATCTCCATTATGCGTTGATTTACATGTCTTCTTCCAACAGGCAACATCTGCTTCATCCCACGGTCTCCACATTTTTAAGTGTTAAAAAACAGCTCTAAGCCTAAACAAATTTAAAAAAAGCGTTTCAAATAAAAAATTTGAAGTTTCTTTCGTTAGGGTCCATCTCAGGCAAAACCTACTTAATGCAGAATAAGCATCCGTTGGGATGGGTTTTCCCACGGTCCTGCGAAGGCCTGCGGTTAAGATACTGTAAAAACGTCAAAGCAATAAATGCACTATATTTTTGATCGTATTGTACTAAGAAATTAAAGGAAGGAATAGTAACAAATAGAAAGACAGCTTAAATAAACGGAGTGTTTGATAAATGATAGTTTAAACTGGAAAATCTTATCATTTCCACAGGGTGTTTGGAAAATGTAAATAAAATAAAGAAGGTTTGCTAGACCACAAACACCGTTGATTGGGAAGCACCTGCTGACAAAATTTTAATATTTTCGACAAAAATGGTAATGCTTAAATAATTTGTCAGGTCCCACGAGCAGAAAAAGCCGATTTTTGGAGTTATAATAATAAATGCTTGATGAAAACGATATTGAATTGAATACTGTAAATATTGAACTTAAATTTTGTCAGACCCAAATGAGTGGTCTAAATTCCAATTAGGCATCTCAAACCCATCTTCAAAATAATTATAATGGAAACAATTTTGCACGGGTTTATTTTTATTGAAAGCCAAGATGCTCATATTTTTAATATTTCACCGATACTCTTTCTTGTCAAAGTTACATCGAACACTAATTTTCGAATATAAAAATATCTTATATTCGGGATGAGACGTTAAAATAATGTTCGACCCCTTGTATATCAGAAGACACTTTGTTTAAATTGCTCAAAACCTTACATTTTGAATTAACAGAGGTGAAAAATATATAGCGGTTTGTTTACAACGAAGTCAAAAATGGTGCCGCATCATTGACATTTGATGAATGTCAGGATTGTAAGGTGTTTATCATCATCATCATTAAAAGTTATATAGAAAGTTTTCATCGTATATTAAACACAGTTTGCTCAAAGTAGCCGAAACCTTATATTTTTGTATTCAGAATTGGAAAATCCGTTTAGGGAGATAAAAATATTTACATTGCCATAGACAGAGTAATTGGCAGATCCACAGAAAAATAAAATTAATTCAAATTCAAGTCATTTTTGTAACATTTTTTTGTCTCCGCTACTTTAATTTCTCTAATACGACTTACGAGACACCCGGTATATTTTATGATGTCAACGTTTCCAAAAATGCGCAAAAAACTAAAATCTCACTCACCGTAAATGCGAACGGAACCGTGGTCATGATTTCTAGTATAAACTGGAACGACAGAAGTTGCTGCCAAATATTGCCCTGAAAAGAAAGAAAATAAAATAAACGGGACCGTTCAAATATGGTATTAATTATGGCCGTTAACAATAATACTTATAAACTTTGATGCCCTTATAAATTGGAACTATTTCTGACAGCGAAAGGGTAGGATATCACTTTGACTATATTGATCTACTCTAAGGTGTACCTCAAGTTTGTCACATCCTGCCTGTTCCCTTTAATTTGTTAGGTTTGCAACGCTATCGGGAATTGCCGATAGTTTTAATGCAGTTAAGGTCGCTAAATATATCAAATTTTAATTATCAAACTCTACAGTTTCATATTAATTTAATAAATTAATTAATTAAATTAAACAATTAATTTTGATTATTCCTTGAGAAGGGGTAAATGACATTAAACACCTCAAATCATAAATACCTCACCCAATTTATTATAAACCGACGCCTCTAATTGCGCAAAATGAATTGAGGTCTAAGTGGAAAAAATTATTTCATCTGAACGGACCGGCTACTATTTTATTCAAATACATTTCAATTAAAAATTATTGAAAAAAAATTCTCCATTTTTAATGACAATTATATAACTAGTATTGAGTGCTATATTTCCAAAAAAAAAACCTCGCAATCGAAATTAATAATCATACTGCTTTCGATTTAATACTCTAAAAACGTGAAGATTGCAGATTGATCTATTCCCAAGGTACTGTAAATTGCAGTTTTTTTCTTTCAAAATTTAATTTTTAATTAGAAGTTTCTGGCTGCGTAACCAATTTAAAAATGTATTAATAAATATTTTCTAATTTATTTCAATTGTAAAATTGTGTAATCGTAAACAATGAAAAATAAAAAAATTCGTCTCCCTTATAATATGGAAAAAGGCTTAAAATATTCACGGCATAATTAATTAGAAGTATTCGGATTGAAAGGTTTCCACTGTTTAAACTAAATTAACGTATCGGAGTTTTTATATGGGACGCCGTTTAATTTATCCCTGCTTTTTGTAATTAATTTTTTAACGCGGAACGCCGAGCGGCTATTTAATTATTAATATAATGATCGAGGGGATTTTTGACTAAACCAGCCTTGGTTAAATTTTTCAGGTCTGGTAATTTCAAAGGGAGACTTGAACATAATAATAGACTCGACATTAATATCTTGAAGTATAATCCATGAAATATCAATTTTTTACTTTTATTTTATTTTTACTTTCATATTTATAATGTGACGCTATGTATTGTTATAAATAGGGTGAGAAGGCAATCCAAAACCTACAAAATGTGTTTTTTTTCAATAATAGAGTATATAGAGTATTCCCAGTAAAAGCAAAAGGTTCTTTGCTAATTTGTTGATTAAAAGCTACCGGGATTTCAGAATTTATTTTGTACAGCAGCGACAAAAAGGAAAATATTACAGGTAGTTAAAGTTAACGACAAAAAAAAGATATATTCAACCAAATTGTTTTGTTTTCTACTCAAATATTTTATTTGCTAGAAGTAGCTAGAAGATTTTTTTAAATTCTTTTCTTTTCTGTGCAGACGAAAAGTGTATTGTGGACTGGCATGTTAAATCAGTAAAACATCAGTTCAAAGGGCAAAAATTGCAATGAGGGGAACACTCCTAGCAAACAATAAAACACTGCCTTGAAAAAAATCCAAGAAACAGAGAACAAATCCAATTCTATAAGAATGAAATGTAAGGTATTCATTGAATCTAATATATCACTTAAAAAAATGGGCAACCCAAATTTGAAATCATCTTCGACAAAATATTGTAAAGTAAATTTAACATACTGGATGAGTCAGCTGTTCGACTGGATTCAAACCCCTTAAAAATATTTTAGCAGTTTTTATACTCAATTTTACTAATTTTGCTTAACCCGTTTTGTCCCAGTAGTGCTTTAATACACTACCTATTCTATGACTTTTTTGTCACATCCAGGAAATATTTTTGCACATCCATTTAGAAATTTTATTATTATCAGTACTAAAGGACATAAAACCGTAGAAATCGCTAATTTATGTGTAAATGAAAGATTTTATATAAGACTTCAAAAGATAACAAAAGCGGTACATAAATTTGTATCACATTTTCAAGTAAATCCAAAGCATTAAAAAAAAATATTTTATATTGATTATGCTTTATTCTTTGAAAAGATTTACTGGTGCGTGAATGCACCGCTGGTTTTATGTGTGAAACAAAACTTTTTTATTGCAAGTCTAGACAAGTCAGCGAATGTGGAATAGACATCCAACGATTAGCGTGTTCTTTAGTATTAGTTTGTGCCTTGTGCAGTGAACGTTACAGTTCGTAAAATATGACTCAAAAGGAATTAGAGGCGGCTATGGAGGAGATCGTGATGTATTATTAGGATTTACGTATTCTTATCTATTGTAGCATTCCATTCCATGTAAATTTATGCTACAAATAACGTGAAAAAAATCTTTACAGAACATATTGACGCGGTCTATATTCCTCCCGACGTGGATACCTTGACCGACGAAGAAGATATGAACGATAACATAAATTTACAAGAGTTTGGGGAACCAATTGATATAGTTCGAACTTTAGAGTTACAACAGTCCTGTAATTCATTAACTACTGAGTCTGAATGGGACTCATCCAATTATGAAACCCCGGAATTCAAAAGAAGGAAGACCTATGCTTTCTGCAAACGACAGGCTTGCTTCTACCGTCAAATTGAAGAAAGGTAAGATTGAGTACACTCACACACCTATATCCGATGAATTTAGATCATGTGAGGAAAAAATAGGCTTTTTGGAAAAACTCGGCTTGAAATTTTTTTAATGTTTGTTGATGACGAAGTGATCGATTTGGTTTTAAAATTTTCGGTAAAATATGCTGAAGACAATAACCGCCATCAATTCTCGTTGTTAATTTTGCAGGCATTTTATTGTTCTCGGGTTATCATTCATTGCCACATATTGAGCTTTATTGGTCTACTGTTGAAGACAAAGGAATTGAACTTATAAAAAAAATGTATGAGCCGCAATAGATTCCAATTGATAAAACAAAACTTGCACTTATATGACAATAATCTCTTCGATAGAAATGATACATCTTCAAAAGTTACACTCTTCTCTAATAAACAAAAAAATCTTCAGTTTGGAATATTTTCGTTCAACTTATCCATAGATGAACAGTTCGTTTTGGTTTCAAGCGTTGGTACCTGTGCAAGTTGCTGCTATCTGAATGTATTGTTGAATTGTTGAATTTGTATTTTTTTTATAATCTCGAATAATATTTTGTTACTGTAAAATTTCTACGTCTTGGAATTTGCTTTGAATAAAACTCTTTTATTACAATGTTTTTTTCATTGATATATATTCAAATAGATCTATGGTATAGGTAAAAAGTTATAGGATATCTGAAGAACGATTTGAATTACAAAAAAATAGTCCTGGCTTTATTTAAAATAACATTAACATTTATAAATTTTCATATTATAAAAACGCATATTCTAAACTAATTTTGTGAAAAATATTGGCATTTTCGCTTACATTTTATTCGCTCAGTTACAAAAATAGACAGAAAGAGTTCAGTTCATACTGTTCATTTTATGTTAAATATTTCTTTATTTCGAAGAAATTGAAAAATATTTTATGCCTTACTGTGGTTATATACTCGCATGCAGCTCTCAATTCTCATTATAAACACATTTTTCGATATTTTTGCATCAAATTTGTAGAAATGAAGTTGGTCACGTGACCCATGTCGGCAAGTGGTCTTATAGGTTAGCTCATATGCAGGAGCGATAACAAATAAAAAATATTCATTACAATATTTTTTTAAAATAAAAACTTTTGAGGGTAACATTACAGCAGTTTTATTGATGATATACCGGGTGACACAAGAAAGTGGGTAACTTTTTGACTTTTGGAATACGGGGAGATCAACGGGGAGAAGAACATCACTTTCATTTATTTTGGAACTGGAGTTTTGTATTTATTTGAATTAAATAAGTGCGAAGGATATTTACTTAATAACCATTTTATTTTCACAGGAAACTTTCATGATTGGCGAAACGTTAGCAAGTTCGCCTCAACAAAAAAAGAAGCAGGAGGAATCCAGAAGTTTTGTAAAAAAGTATTACAGTAGCCTGTGGAAGTATCTTAAAAAAACATGCATCTAATTGGAATCGTGATTCACTGTTTATTTTACTTCTTTCGTTGTTGTAGATTTCTCTAACATGGTTTTACCAAGCGTACAACCCCATGTCGAACGTCGTTTATATAATCAATCATTCATCGACGCCATTGTTGCCCGCACGAAGCCCCGTGTCCGAAGGGTCGTTTACTTTTGTGTTTCGTTAAGTTTCCGACCAAACGAAATTGGGTGAAATAAATAAAGACTAGGTAAATTTTATTCGATACGAAGCACCAACAGGTGAAGGTATTGATTTACTACTTTACTACGAAGGGGAGGGGGCATTTTAACAAAATTAGGTTCGTTCCGATAGAGGCGAGAAATACATTTTTCTAAAACGTTGGAAAGATCTGATCTTAACAATTCATCGTAAACGTGCTTCAAACTGAAGAAACTTTCGAGTTCGTATTGAATGTCGAGGTTAAAGTAACTCAAATCTCTTAGTGATTTGAGTGCGGAACGAACCTACTAAGTTTGTTGATTATTTCGTCGTTAGTTTTGTTGTTTGCAAATATTCTTAAAATGTTTTTGTATACATAAATGAACATGCAACAAAATGGATTGTATTTTATTATTATCTTGCGAATAATTCAAGAGAAAAATTGTTATTGAAATACTGAACGCTTCTATTAAGTTGACTTCTAATGCAACTAGACTTTACGATATATAGTAAGGGCCTAATCAACAACTTATTACTAAAAAAAAGTCCGCCAAATTAAAAAAAAAAAAAGTAACGATATTGTCCCGAATTATTCTTTCATCGAACGATGAAGATTTTTAAAATATAAACTCAAATTGTTTAGAACGGTTATGGCAGGGAAATTATAAAGCCGATTCAAAAAGTTCGCCTGTTTTTAC